TCTTAAATAGAGGAAACACCATGCTTCCTAAGTCCTTCCCCTTCAGGCATTTGATGTCATCTGATGCTTTTCTTCCTCTTCATGATTCCATAATTGACAGGGAGCACCACTTCTCACCTGATTTATTCTGCTTCGTAAATGAGAAACAACCACCACCACCAAAACAACCCCAACCACCTGCCCCAGCCGACCCTGTGCTCTGAAGTGAACATAAAACCACTGGTGGAAGCTGTACCATACATCAGGAATTTGAGGCCTTTCTACACCTCTTGTTGTAGGAGCAGAGTGAAGGCCCCATGAGCATACGTCCTGCTTTCAGATTTTCAGAAGTTCTTTTGAATAGTTGTGAGAAGTTCTAAGACACTGCTGAACAACTGTAACTCGGGGTATGGTTTCTTAGCAGCATTGGCCAATCTAGGTTGGGACCACTTTGTTGTGTAGTCCAACTATATATCCATCCTGCTTTTTGCTGAGTTAGTTTTCATCAGGATCATTTCTATGGATAAGGTTTTGTCTAGTTTTGTGACTGCCCGTGCCAACACAGGGAACGTGAAAGTATTCATGGCTCGGAGAGGACTGTGCTATAGTAGTTGCTGGGTTGCGAGTCTGTGGGTGCACATTAGTGTCAAACTAAGCCATTGATTTTTTTTTTTTTTTCAATAAGCAATTTTTTTTTAATAGCAATAAGGTGTAGAGATGCACATTAGTGCTTGTTCTGAGATGAGGATAGAATTCCCACTCAGTCTTGGATTGGTGGAGTTTTGCATACAGGGATGTGGTTGTGGTTCTGCTCTGAGATTAACCTGAATTTGGTAATCAGTTTTCCACCATTTTGGCACTGTGTTGCGTGTTAGTCATTATTGGGTGTACCATCTGTTAATCTCACATGGGATTCTCAAGGTACTTGCGAAGTCATGTCAAACGTGAGGCTTGATAACAGAAGGCAGCTGTGAATGGTTGGCAATACTATTTACCACAGCTTAATTTATTATTATTCTATCTGTATAGATTTTTTTTAATCGAAGTATTAAAATCTGCTATTTGACATGCTCTAAATGGCACTAGTACAGAGTAAACTAGTAAACCCCACCTACTTTAATGCTTTCCTTAGTATGTGGAACAGCAAGCATTCCAATGCATACACAACTGCATGCAAGGCTCCGACTGGAGCCTGTCCAATGGTGGCTAAAGAAACTAGACAATTTTTCTAACATAAGTCTAGCCACTTCAAAATATTAAATATACTCTGTTGCATGTATTAATGACATTTTACTTCCTTTAAAATATATGCCCATTGGGTTATATTTCAATAAGAAATCTAACATGATGAAGTTAAATAAAAAGGTATTTAAAGTACATCTACAGTATACTAGAAACACAACTGACTATGCTTACATTTAAAGAAACTTTTCTGAAATATAGGGCTATTGAAATTTCCATTTGTGTTTTGAAACAGACCTCTGTGGAGCTCCTGCGATATTACTTTATACTCTAGAAGTACCTAGAAACAAATTTATTCTTTAGCGTAGTAAAAATGAAGTGATGCAAATACGGAAGACTAATTATATTATTGCATATAGTTTCCTTTTGACTGTTTAGTATCTTAATTTGGTTCTATACTTTGAAGTCTTTGAAAATTGTATTGGGAAAAAAAATGTCATGGTTATAGGGGCTGGGACCAGTTTATCCTTATGTGGGTAGAACCAAAAACTGTGTATTCTATACCCTCTATTGGCAGTGCTCATGGGCTGTTAAGAAAATCGTGGGTAGCAGCTGCCCAGGACAGACCTCACACCCCAGGCTATAACAGATCAGGAAAGAGGTCTGGGGAGATGTTAACACCTTCCCACCCAGCAGGAGGAGTCCTCCCTGCTAATGGGCCCATCCATGCCTCGCCCCATGACTCATACAGAGCTCTCCCCAGGAGCTATTTCTGTTTAATGGGCCATCAAGGACCCACTGCATGACTCACAGAATGATATCAACCCATTGTGAGATGCTCCACCCAGGGGGAGGAGCCAAGTGCTCCCACCTGGATATAAACTGGGGTTCAGTACAGCACAGGAGGCCTTACCCACTGGATTTCCAGAAGACAAGAGCTACCAGATCTTTTCTATGAGACCACTGCTTCATCTGGACTGCTACCACCACCCTAACTACAGAGTGTCAGGTTGTATTCTGACTCTGTCTGTGGTTTCCCTTTGTATTGTTGCATTTATTTTATTTTTTCCTATTAAATTGTATTTCTGACTTGGAGTCTCTCACTGGTTTGCTTTCAAACCATTACAAAAAATTAAAAAGGTAGTGGTATGTTTTCAAAAATTGATGGCAGAATTTATTTTTTGGTATTGAAATAAGTAACAAATACTCTACTGTTTTTTGAAATAATAGAGAAATATAAACCTATTGTGGTCACATTATTTAAAGTTAATGGCTTAACAAACATGTTATCAGGCGTGTCTTGCTGTATTAGTAAATAATAAGTTTTGCTTTCATGGTATGAAGGATGGTTTTGGCATTTTGTCTTGAGTGGTCGCTAATTTATGTGAAGCTAACTTGGTGCATCTGTTACTGTAGTCCACTGCGTGTCCTTCAGATAATCATCTAACTGAGGTTTTCTGAATACTTTAAAGCACTTTGAAAATGAATGTGCATTCAGTGTTCCTCCATGGTTATCAGGAACATACGTGATTTAGTAGTTATTACCATTTCTTGAGCATCTGGCCATTTTTGGCCATTGTGCCCTGGTCATGTATGTGTAACTTTGCTAAGTATTTTATTGCCACAGTTGTTCAAACAGCACTGTTGAAGACTTAGTAATTTAAAGTAAGGCAATTTATATTGAATTATTATGTAATTTGTGTTCAGTTATGTAAACTGTAGAGGAGGATTTTCATAATTAGATTGAATGAAACAGTATTGATTAAAGTTTTGCAGAGACACTGAGTTAGTATCTCTTGTGTTGATTGCATATCATGAGATCTTTAATACACAGGCACAACTTGGCTACCTTTCATCACACCTCCTTCCCTTTGAAGAATTCAGAGCCCCTCAGTTGAACATACTGACATAGTATTAGTTCTAAGTGTCTCAGGAAGGCAACATGTATTAGCAGTCTTCGTTTTTCATACAACTGTTACCAACTGTTTATTGTGCCTTTCCAAAGGGAATTTTCTTTGAGCAGTATTTCTTTTATCCTGTTTAGGAAAAAGAAGAGTTGATTGAAGAATGGCAGCCAGAGCCTCTTGTACCTCCAGTGCCAAAAGATCACCCAGCTCTCAACTACAACATTGTTTCAGGGTAAATGCAACCAAAATAAGTTCTGATTTTTATTTGAACAGAAACACTTGATGTCTGTACTTTTAAGCATATTCCTTACTAAGCATTTCAATAGCCTTAAAACCTTTCAGAAATGAGTTGCATTTTTGGACAGCAGGGGCATATTTGCATCTGAAGAGATAGTTTTAATTATCAGGACTATATTATTAAGAAAAATCTTCCTTTTTTTTTTTTTTGTTTGTTTGTTTTTAATATTGGGTATGAGGCAAAGGACATTTTATATTTGTCTTCATTGTGTGTCTGTATTGTTTGGTAGTAATTTGTTTCGTTTTCTCTGAATAGGTGCAATTATGCCTCAAAAACTGGTTACTACCTTCTGTGGGGGGGTTAGAGGGAATCTGCAGTCACAAATCTCTTCAGAAGAGACTGATCTTTGTGGCTAGCAACTTGACACTTTGTGAAAAGTTGTTCCTCTTTGGACAATCAGAAGTGGAGAGCCTTGATGGCAATGTTGTTCTGTGAGGAAATTATGACTTAGCATTAATTTCTTGTGTGTTACAAGGCTTTTAAAATGTGTTCTCACCTAGGCAAGTGGCACAGTATATCAGAAATTTATTTGAAATTTCTTTCAGAAGTTATATCAGTAACTTTTACAATGTAATATCCTTGCAGTGATATTAATCATTTAAAATAACTTAGTGACAGAGCAGAGTTATTTGCTGTCATAGGGAGCTCCATTTTGGTGGTTCTGCCACTGTGGAAAAGTGCTTTAGAAAAGGGCTGCCTATTCTAATCAGCTGTGATGTGAACAATCCTTCTGTTACTGTTCAGAATTTTGAAGCAAGCAGTACTGTGGAGTTGAAAGAAGTGTTGTTTGTTAAAAAAAAAAAAGTCTGGATAAATACATCTTTTTAGATTGATTCCAAAAATGTTTAAATTATTTAAAACTTTAGAGTGCTTACAACTAAGGAATGTTAATGTGTTAACAACTAGGGAAGTTGTTAATGTGTTAAACTTGGTAGTAGCTTTGGGGAAAACTTGGTATTTGTCTTGCAGGATTTAAACGGCCAACTAACCACCTTCCTGTGAGTTGCTCAACAGCTATGTGATTGTAATGTGGTCTGTAAACTTAACCCATATTTCAGAATTAATATAGAAATTAAAGTGTCTGCATCTCAGTTCCAGCTCAAGACCATTTCTATCCCTTTTAAATTAATTAGTGTTATAGGGAAATCCTATTGTTGTTGATGAGGTGGTCTTCTTTCAATGATTTTCATATGTTAATATCTACTGTGAAATGGTGATTTACATAAAACTTAATGATATTATTAATTACAAAGTAATGTGTAGGTGGGGTTCATACAGGCCTGTAACTATTTAGGAAGTGTTAAATATTTCAGTAAAAATTTTCACCCATTGTATGGGTGAGGCAGACTTCCACCTCCTTCACTACAGAAGGCAGTTTGTGCTTGATGTTGAGTGCTCTTTTCTGCTGAACATTTGCATAATACCAGCAACATTGCCAAATGATGAGCAAGAACCATCTGAACAAAGTGTGACCAATCTTGACTCAGCAGTGAAGTTACCTGTAACAGATCAGTCATGGTCCAGGAACAACTACTTCTGGTAGCCTGTGGACTAATTTATGCAAGATACCTTAGTTGTTCAAGATCTCGTTCAAAAAATGTAAACCTATTTCCTGAAGCAAAGTCTACGGAATTCTCTCATGCTGATTCTCATTTTGCTTTAAAAAAGCGTTTATGATCTGCCTTTAAACATTATCATCTGCATCTGATTTTACAATACATGCAACACTTAAGAGACAAGTGAGAGGTCCTAGTACAGATGGAGTGCTTTTGGTCCTTAAAAGACAGTTTCTGGAGGACTTGCTTGCAAGTTATTTTAATTATAGCTTGAAATTAAATTTTTGTTTACAGTTTCAGATGTCCTCAGCATCTCATAGTTGTTGTTGCTAACTATGATACCTGATGGACAGTCTTATACTAGGAAGAGGGAGATACCTGAAACAAGAAAGAAATTAAATGTTTCACTGTTCTCCTTTTGCAAAGACTTGTTGTTTTTGATATTGAAATGAGGATTTATGATACTGTTAGTGTTCATCTTTTGGATATAATTATTCAGTGGAGTGAGTTTTTCCATTAATGTTTTCTGCCTAAACATGAATATTCCTTTAGAAGGATGGATAAATATATGATAGCAAGGCACGGCTGTGTTTTCATCAGGGCTGCAGCTTTGTTAGTGGCAAGCTGGTGTACATTATTGTGTTTTCTAGGTTTGAGAGGTAGAGATGCAGGGACAAAGTGTTGTAAATTTACCAGGTTTAATAGTATCCTGGGAATATACTGAACCTCATGGGTCTGCTTGTGGGAATATCTGTGAACTGAAGTAGTTGTTTCACTTGATAGGACTTCCAGCATTTGGTACAGCTTGTTGATGGGCAAGACAGAGGAACAGATCCAGGTATATTTTTAATGGCAGTCAGTTCCCCAAGACAGTTTGCTGTGCGTTTGTGTGATGCTTCTGCTGTGCAGAAGATGCACTGCAGTGATTCAGGACTACTCCTTTGTGGTCCCAAGTTCATGTCATGGAATGGCAGTGATGAAGGTGCTGGCCCATCATGAAGTGATAGTAGGAAGCTTTCCAAAGATGCTTTCTAAGCTTTGCAGTTGCTTGGTTGAAGCAGCATATGCTGAATTTTCACAGTGAGCAAATATAAAAGAAAATCATAAAAGTGTTTTTTTTAGTTCAGGCAGTTCAATGTTTTTCTTAACTTTTAGTCAATAGCTTGAACTTAATTTATTTGAATTGCACACCAAATGTACCTGTTGAAATACTGTCAGCAACCAGATGTGGAACAGCTGTGCACAGGTATTTGACATTTGGGCAACACAGTTTAATTTTGATTTGGAAAGTTGCTTGGTGCTAGATTCCTCATGAGAAAAGCTTGTTGAAACTATTGTGTTTGAGGAATTGCATGGGCTCTCAACTGTAGTATTTGAGAACATGTGCAGAAGAGGGCAGACATAAGGTTTTGTATTCAGCTGAGGTTTGAGACCTCTGAACGCTCTGAACACGGCAGGATTGCTTTTAGAATACAGCACAGAGATGTAGTGCTTGTGTTTAATAACTACTTTATCTCCAACTTTTTTAGAAACTGTTTATCTAAATCATGATATTTTAGGCAGAAAATTTGTCTGCCCTTTGCTTCATATATATTGTATTCTTATTCATTTGCTAATATTGGGTGTTCTCACACTTTCAGTGTTTCCCAATTACATGAATTGTTCAAACCACTATGTATTAAACAGAATTGGAGACTTGAGATGGCAGATAATACTTTTGTCTGCTTACACCTAGCACCTGTATTTCAGAAGCTCTATTCAGTATGAGATTGGTATAATGGGCTTTATGACAGAAACATTGGTTTTATATTAATTTTTTATTATGGAATAAAATAGCAATGAAATTTCCTTTTTATTTGAAGTATTTACCTTTTCAAGTAGATATCACTTTGCTTTTAAAGACTAAGCTTTATGTCTAAAGGAATCATCTTTGTAAGAATTAAATTTTCAACAAGCAGTCATTAAATGATTTGGGAGGGTATTTATGGTTTCTTCATTAAACTATAAGAATACAGTTTTTGCTGAGTATGGTAGAATATTTGTGACTTGAAACTGAACTTAAATATTGATTGGTAGCTGCAAAGAAAGAAGTAGAAAGATGCATTTTACTGTTGAAAAACAAAACTCCTGTACTGTTTGTTTATGAAAATGACAACTGTTCATTCATAACAGTAGGTCTGTAACTTTTTTTCAGTCCTCCCACCCATATTATCACTGTTAATGGCAAGGAATGTATAAACTTTGCATCATTTAACTTTCTTGGACTTTTGGATAATGAAAAGGTTAAGGTGAGTTCTTCCAGATATGGTGTTTGTGTGAGTATTCTTCTTTTACTTTGTATATTATCTTGAAACTAAGACTGACTTCAGAAAGCACTAACTTTGTCAAAGAAGTATACTTTTAAAGTAGCAAGGACAATTACAAACCTTGTAAATTTATGCTATTTAAGTTTGTCTTTTTGCTAAAGTTTAATCTGGGGTACATACTGTGTACTAGCTGACTATCAAGTTAAAGTGGTATCCGTTTTCCTTAATCATTAGAATACAGTTACGATTAAACAATTGTCTAAAACAGTTTTGATGTGAAATTATTTCATAGAATTCAGTACATTATTATACTCTCTGTAAAGCAAGTCCTGTTGCATGGCACTAGCAGTGCCTGTGTACACTGTATAAAATTGTCAATGTAAAGTGTATAGAAGAGTTGGAGAATTAGCAAAGGAATAAATATTTTACGTAAATCTTTTTCTGCTGAAGAGTGCGGCCCAGGCATCTCTGAAGAAATACGGGGTTGGCACTTGTGGACCTCGAGGATTCTACGGCACTTTCGGTGAGTAACTTTCTTTGATCTGCCTTTAAAGGTCTTCAGACTGGTTTGGAGAGTTAGCTAAAATAGTCCTGTATTGTAAGCAGCAAATTACCTCTATCACTATGTAGGGCAGTTCCCCTGTAACACACTTTTTACTGTAATTGTTAACAATAGGCAGGGTTTACTGTTTGAAATTTTCTTTCTTAATAATTTTACGTTTTTTCTTATTCTTTTTAAAGCTGGTCTTGGATGAGAGTTGCAAAGTTAAATATGACCTGGTTTAGTTATGATCACTGTAGTAGAAAAATAAACATTTAAATTTAATAATGCATGGCGAATTTAAGTGTAAACTAATAATAAGTTTCTAAGTGGACCACAAGAGGGCGGTCTGATTTCTATGATAAAAATTCTTGAGTTTTATCTAATACAGTAGTGAGAATAAAGTTTTCCTTTGCTAGTAACTTTATGTTGTAACTAAGAGGTTTTATTATGTGAGGAGGTGTTACTAAGGTTTTTTAATTTTGTAGGAAGTAGTAAGTTGTTAAATATCAGCATCTGGATATAGTTCTTTACAAGCATTGGTATTTTGAAAGACTGCATAGGAGGCTAAAACTGTCGACTCATTGTCTTGTGAACTTTCCTGTCTCTTCCCAGAGATGATGGAATTCATAGTGTGTTTATACCCTAGCTTTCAGAGAGTTAGCTTCCTATAGACTTGACCTGAATTCAAGGTTAACTTGAACTTTTCTCAGTTAATCAAGCTAGTCTTTTAAGTGATAACCAGGTTCTGTACCTATTTTGATTTGTTAGAGGTCAATATACCAGATGGAAGTTGAGTATTTGATATCAATCTTCTAGATTATTCATTAGCTGAGAACCATAATTCTAAACCGTTTCTAAAGAAGCTGATGGTAGTCCAGTAATTAATAGAGAGCTTTTAGGAAGCTACATTCCCTCACTGATTACAGTTAAACAGTGATCTGTTGGAATTCATACAGGCGCATTTTCTTTCTTTTTTTTTTTTTTTTTTTAATACAGAAAAGCTTAAAGAAACTTATGGACTGATGCCTCTTGCCTTTTGAGTTTAGGCTGATTTTAACTGTTTTGAAGCCTTTCACTTTGCTTCTTTCTAGTTAATTATTTGAAATGGACTGTCTCTTATCAGTGGTGTCTGGTGACAGGACTAGAGGCAGTGGTCACAAGCTGGTGAACAAGAGGTTCAACCTGAAGATAAGGAGGAACTTCTTTATGATGCGTGTAACAGAGCACTGGAACGGGCTGCCCGGGGCGGGGGAGGAGGCACCATCTCTGGGGACTTTCAAGGCCCACCTGGACGTGTTCCTGGGTGATGCACTCTAGGTGATCCTACTATGGCACGGGGGGTTGGACTAGATGATCTTTTGAGGTCCCTTCAAACCTCTAACATTCTGTGAATCTGTGTGAATCTGTGAAAAGTTAATTGATTTTTCTGTAGTGAGATAGTCTTTGGACTGTTACCTGTCCTCTTTTGAGGTCTAATGCTAAAATCTGAACAGTACAGCTTTTGTCTTTAGTTAGGCTGCTGTTCGTTTGCTTCTGAATTCTTGGATAAATGCTCCGTTTCACATAAGCGGGTGATATAATCTGTGGTATTGCTGCATGATGTCCCTAGTAAAGAAATGATGTTATACTCACTTATTTGAGATATCATCTTTTATGGATAAAGTAATGGAGAACTGGAGCAACATTTGAGACGAGCACCTGCTGTTCCTGTTGTATCCTGCACTGTCTTCCCATTTTCCCTTGACTTGAAACATTTTAGTGTTGCAGGATTATGAATCTCTGATAAGGAATGCTTCTCTTATCTGTAATGTTGTATGCCTCAAACTTTTCACATTTTTTTGTGCTGTAATTTTGCTAAATGAGTCATGTTATGTGAAACTACATAGTTTCATCTTAACCATATAGGATTTAACTGATGATTGTCAATTGTCACTCAGAATTATTCCATCTTAGGGCCTACTATTTCATATCAGCATTAGAGATCTCTTTATTTAGAAATACAGATATCATGTTATAATTTATTTTGAATGGAGACTTAGTTCTTCATATCTCTGCCTGTTTGAAGGGATTTCTTGGATTTAGTGACTCTTAAGACATTTTTGCTTTGTGCTGTATTCCTAAAAACTGCATCCATGTCTTTCTCCTATGATAAGCTTGAAATACTAGTGTATTCACACATAACTGAATCTTTATTCCTCAATAATGACAACTGAGGACTGTTACTTTTCTTGGTGGTGGAGTTTTTTCAAGGCTATCATTGATTGCCAAGCAGCCACAATTTCAGTTCTGCCGTGATGATCAGAACTGGCTACCTAATTAAAATATATAAAAGATGATCTGGGATTTGGTCTCCATTCTTCTGATTTTGCCTTGTATGTAAATACTTGCTAGGCACTAATTTGGCACTTCATAGCAGTTGTTGACAATTATAGCTTTATGGAGTTTTTATAATTATGTAGAAAGCTGTTCCAATCATATCTACCTCTGTACAAATATACTCTAAGTAGTGTTTGCAGCTTTCACTTAAACTGGGCTAATCCAAGGGATGTAACCAGACAAAAGCAAATCATTTCAGTGAAGAAGGATCAGAGTAGAAACAGTAATAATGGTAATAGTATGAAAATATATTGAAATAATATATAAAATGAGTGATGTACAACACAACTGCTCACCACCTGGAACCTGCCACCCACTCAAGCTGCAATTCCCCCTGACAGGTTCACCCACTTTCCCTTCTCCTCCTCACCCCCTCCCCCACCCAGAGTATATATGCTGAGCCTGACATCAGCATGATGTCAACTATCCCATTGGCTGGGTCAGTTGTCTGTACTGGCTGTGGCCCCTCCCAACATCTTGTGAAAATTAACATTAGCCTAGCCAAACCCAGAACACAGTTACACTAAACATTAATTCCCTCATGTAACAATGTATCAAATGTATTTATATGTTAAGTGTCATTCTGAACTTAAATATTCTTGCTCTTGGCAAAGTTTACTAGGCTTGTAAATTTCTTTCCTTAACAGGAATCTGGTTATATTCCTTAGCTCCTTTTTGCTGGCAGTTTATCCTCAGTTTTTACCTTTCACACTCTCTTGACTGTGGTTGGGAGGCTGTTGTTTGAAGACATACCTTTTGCTTTTATTGTATAAATATATGAATAAGGTAGCTGTGTCCTTTGAAGGAAAGGTGATGTGAAGGTAATTGTTTAGTATAACAATGTTAAGATTTTTACAAAGCCCTGTATCCTTACACTCATGCTGTTGGTACCTTGCCAGAAGTAGCAACATTGACATAACCGTGCCTCGTAGACTATTGAAGAATCTGTGTTTTTAACTGATGTTGCCTCATTTGATTATGGTTTCAATGAACTTCAAATAATTCTAAAAAAAGGTAATATTTGGCCACTGATAATCTTTCAAGTCACACACTAAGGACCTCAGTTCAGCCTTTAGTCTTGCTTATTTCCAGTTGATAATAGGCATAATTGTCTGATGAACATCTGTAGTGGCAAGGAAGTTACACAAGTGAAATAACCTAATACAAATTATTTTGCTCAGAACACTTTACACTGCGGTCACCTTTTGGCAGCTACAGTCCACCCACCATGTGGCATTACCATTCTCAAACTTTTGACTTACTGGTGTTTTGTTTCTGGCATGGGTCACTTTGACCAAATTGGTTTGGAAATGCTTGTGTGTGTAACTGTCGATTTATCTTAAGGGTGAGTAATTTCTGGCATGGAGATGGTGACCTTTCAATTGGCTGAGGTGTGTTCAGGAGATAGTGTGTGATTGCAGTCTGACAAGAGCAGTTCTCTTTTACTATAACAGCTGTGCTATATGCAGTGGAAGCATCAGCTTGGAAGAACTGAGGATCTGCCAACAGGACCTCATTAATTGCTATAAATTACATAGCAGTTCATTGTCTGTCTGTAGTAACCGTGCTCTGTAGTAACAGTCCAGGAACGCTGCCTCATTTATTTGTCTAATCACAAGTGGATTTCTAATTACCATTGCATAAGAACACGAGAGAGACACATTACATAAACATTTCCATATCTATCAAAGCATTTGATCAATATTGGGTTGCTTGTCAGTTTAAGACTGGATTGGTTGCAGCTGTTTTTTGGGAATTTATTTGTTGTAACACTCTTCCTACAAATAAAATTGTTTGCCTCAATTAAATGATTGCTAAAAGCAGTGATAGTTTTTCTGATACAAAAAAAGTAAGCTAAGATCATCTTAATTTTTCTCTCAAACAGATGTTCATTTAGAGTTAGAAGAACGGCTAGCAAAATTCATGAGGACAGAGGAAGCTATTATATACTCATATGGATTTGCAACAATTGCCAGTGCTATTCCTGCATATTCAAAAAGAGGGGACATTGTGTTTGTGTAAGTATTGTTTTCTACTTGGGAAATTCCAAACTTTCAGCTTTTCTTTTTCATTATTGTTATTCACATTAAATTAATGATTTAGAAAACGGTGCTGGCTTTGATCAAGTACTTTGTGTTACAAAGCTCAGGTGTCTTTGCTTTGCCAAACACTCCAAATCAAATCAGTTACTGCTTTTATTCTGGAAGAGCAGACTTGGGCACTTAGCTGAAGATATACCACCACAAACAAACTAACAACCAAACTTGTGCATGCTTAAGAAACTGTACAGTCATATTTGCTTTTCTCCCATTTACTGCTGGCTTTTCACCTTCCTTGCAGGACAGTTGTTCCCCTTGTAGGTATTTGCAATGGATTAGTTGGAGAAATATTGGTACATATTAAAATAACACAATAAAGGCTATGTTGGGTCAAATTAAAGATTCAGGAAGCCTAGTATCAGGTTCCTGAGTGCAGGCAGTCATAATTTGTCTAGGGGAGAGTTAAAAAAACAGGAGAAACAATGTGAGAATATTCAAGCTTCCTGAGCCAGAGGAGAGTTTGGAGTTAGTAATAGTTGATGGATTTTTCTTAAGCTTTACTATTCCTTAGTAAATCTTTAATATCCACCTGTGACACATAATTTCACAGTTTAACCTGAACATTTTGTGAAAAAATATGAAGAAATACCTGTTTTAAAAGAAAGGCCTACTAATCAATTCATGCATTTGATTTTTAGACTGATGCATCTTATCCATGGGAGAAGTCAGTGAGGGGCTATGTGGCGCTTAGCTGCCTGCTTAGTTAAGCCACAACATGCTAATACTTCAGTATTTGTCTGCCAAAATCTTTCTTCAGTGCTCTCTTTTCTAAGTGTAAGGCTCTCAGCCTGTTTGATTTCTTCTACAGATGTGCCTTCGTATGTTTGATTGTGTTCTTTGGTCGTCTTTGAACATTCTCCAGATCGGCTGTTTTGAGATGAATAACTGGGATCACACACACTATTCAAGATGCCAGTGTATCCATGATTTATTTGTCTTTCAGCTTCTCACTGGCAAAAGATCTCACCACATTTAGAAGCAACTTAGTTGAAAATACTACATTTAGTATGTGCAGATGTTTGATTTAGTTGGCATTTTTAGAAGATTACTTGACTTAAGCAGCTGTGAAATTCCATACCCCATCATGCTCAGAGATTGGCTTTTCCAGCACTTAAATATGGTGGATAGTTCTTTGAACACTTGAGAGTAATTCCTAAAGGATTTTAAAAACAGATTTAGAATCGTTGGAGGACCACTGTGTAGATGTTACAGGCACGTCTTTGCGCCTTTTTTCTAAGATCCTGAGCAAATGGAGTGAGAGATTTCTGATTACCATGATATTGTTCATGGAATGCTGTGCTCAAATAAACTGCTGTCACATACAAACAAAAGAACTAATATACACCTCAAGAAAAAAGAAACATTGGCTTGTGTTTGGTGGTTATCGTGCATAGGAAAGTTGAGAAGCTTTGGAAATGAGTTTTCAAAACGTAAACTAAATATATGTTGCTTTAATAAATCTGGTTTTAACTATGCTTAAGTACAGATACCGGCTCAAAAACACAGCAGTCCTAATAGGTACCTTTCTTTGAATAATTGTTAAACCAAATGCAACCTCAGAAGGCCTTGCTGTATTTACAGAGATGAAGCTGCCTGCTTTGCTATTCAGAAGGGATTACAAGCATCTCGTAGTAACATAAAATTATTTAAGCATAATGATATGGCTGACCTTGAACGACTGTTGAAAGAACAAGAGTCTGAAGATCAAAAGGTACCGTTCCTTTGAAGAAGTATTTGTATTCTTTTGTGCCACCTCCCACATTTTTACTGGGTTTTGTAATTGAATGAGTGCAGTGCTCATAAGCAGTTACTTGGTTTTCATAAATCTCTGAGCGGTTAAGCTTATGTAATTACAACTGGTTTGTTTTTTTTTTTTTAAGAATATTTATTTATTTGCATTTCTGAGTGTAACCATTGGAAGTGAGCTCAGGCATTGGTAGTGGGATAATATCTTTATAGACAGGTGAATATAGTGTGAAATTTTTTTTTAATACTATTGCAGAGCTTTTTCTGGTCTTTTAGAAATCTGTGTAGCTGCGTTTGCCTAATCAGTTGTGCGAGTTAATTATTAGTTCAAATATCATAGCATAAAGTCAACACAAAAGCAGTTACTCCCAACCCTTTAATTTATAGAATCAACATAATTCTCCCACCTGCCCTGTAGACGTTGCACTAGTCTTACACTTAATAGTTAAGATGTTCTCTCTTGAAAGATTTGGGTCAGTTTGATGGCTTGCTTCTCATTCAGATGGTAATGCAATAAGCATGTCTAAAAGCAGCTACTAAAATGAGAATCAGCAGGTACAGGTAACTTGGTTAAATGGGTTTTAAAAGAGTTAGTTGAGGATCTATCACCATTACTTGCCTCTTTCACAGAATGCTGGAAAGTCACAGAAGAAAGTGGATTTTGTGCTAACACAGCAGAAGTAAAGTAGATAAACTTCATAATCATCAGCCAGTCAGCTTAACATCAGTGTAAATAAGTATAAAACTGACTAACAGCAAATATATAGACAGCATCCTGGTTAACATATTTTCATGGGAAATACATTTTGTCAGATAATCTTTTCATGATTTTTTAGATGTAGCCGAGAGACTAGTGATGTGATTTGTGTAACATGTCTGGTTTGTTAGAGCAGAGTGCTTTGATTTAGCTACATGGTTAGGGTTTTTTAATGTAATTAGCTGAATGTGAACATTAAGTTGGTGACCAAGAGCTTAATATAGACTACGTGTCTATAACTAGGATAAACTAACTGGAAAGGGGTAGATATTACACTAGAGTTGGTCCAGCTTGTGGAGTGGACTGTGCTTAATTTTGGTGCCTACCACTCGGAAAAGTCAAGTAGATGTTCTCTGAATCGTTTTACAAGAACTGAAGAAGGTAAGAAGCATGACAATATCCTTGATATCAATAAAGTTTAATGTAAATACCAGGAGAATGGCATTTTAAAACAAAAAACTCAAATCATACCATTGAAGCTAAACAGCAACCAGTGCAGGATATTCTCATGGCATATATTGTCCAGATATCAGACAAGGAGATAGTAACTTAAATACTTTTGGATTGTGTTTTATGAAGACACTGCTTGTGAGAAGTTTGTGCCACTGTGTGAATCCTGTCACATAAATTGCTTGCTGAAAAGTCTTCTAAATGCACAGACTAATGATGAGTATTATAGAGACGAAGATCTGTATTATTTGTTCTGTAGTTATATTGCTTGTATCTTATTCATAAAGTTCAAATGGCTTCATTATGTTATTGTAAAACAAGGCATCTTAAATCTTGTATGAGTTAAAAACTTTAAAATCATTACAAAATAAAGAAAACCTAGTCCAATGAGGCATTGCAGCTTTTAGAAATGATAAATACTGTTTAAACTAAAGTAAAAGCTTACTTCAAAGAGACAGTATCTTCCTTTCCTTCCCATCACTGTCCTTACCTATCAAAAAATCCTCAGAGCTTTATTTGTTGTTAACAATGAACTGAAACCATATCTTTATCTGAAGAATCCTCGCAAGGCCCGTGTAACTCGGAGATTTATTGTAGTGGAAGGATTGTATATGAACACAGGAGATGTTTGCCCTCTTCCAGAATTGGTAAGTGGTTTCAGTTTGCCTTGTAAACTTTGCATATGAGAACTTGTGGCTAATGAAATAGTATTATCATATAGTTAGGGCTACATAGAAAACCTCTGCATGTACTTTGTTTACCATTTTTTGCTTTCTTAAAAAGATCATGAAATGGCCATTCGAAATCTTATGTTGTTTTGAAACTTCTGATCATGATTAGGATTCTGAAGCTCTTTGTAATAAGACTTGCAAATGGATATCTGATTATGGGTCTTAGTTTTTAACCTTTAAAATATACTGTATTTTCAGCTATCCTGTATGAACCTAAATTGTTAAACTATGTCATATCTTAAAAAAAGGTATTTCAAAGGAATCCTTACAAAATATCATGAGGGACCAAGGAAAACATTTGCTATTCAGCATAAATTGGATTTTTGTGCAGGCCATATTCTAGTAGATAATTGAAAAAGCACTGTCAAAGTGTGCCATCTCGAAAATACTTTTAAAGTACGTTCAAGTAGTAATTAAAAGTAATTAGTACTGAGTACTAATGAGCCTATTTAAAAAGGTCAAAACTTTTTGTACATGAACATTTATGAAATTTACCCTAGTCTTACATGATGGAGTAATTTTGAAGGCTTTTAAAATGTCTCAGTGACAGAACACAACTCTACTACAGCTGGGTAGTATTGTAGTATTCAGGATGCTGTACTTGTCTGTCTTTACCTTATCTTCCTCACCCATTTCATTACCAAATTCTGATGGGCTTGACTTGTGTTTTAAATAATTTGCTGTTTTAGATAAAATTGAAGTATAAATACAAAGTTAGAATATTTTTGGAGGAGAGCCTTTCCTTTGGAGTCCTTGGAGAACATGGAAGAGGAATTACTGAACACTTTGGAATAAATGTAGGTGCCGCCTTTGTGAGTTTTGTTGCAAACAAGAGACTTGTACAGAAGCAGATTGCACAGTTGATTTCTTATGCCTGTATTGTTAATGATGTTGAGCTGTGTACAACAGAAATTTAACCATACTTTTCTTTCATCTTAAATTGTTCAGGTTTTGATGCTTTACTTTCACATGCTTAAGTTGAAATAATTTTACTTATCTTTAGTGAGGAAGATGACAAACAGTGCATAATTTTATCCTTTTTTTGACACTCAATGTGATGATTGCAGTGTTTTCCAGCTAGATACACTTAAAAGTGTTGCACGTAAACAGCACTACTTGGAGGCTGTGGATAAGTCAGAAAAATCTTCTCGGTGTATAGCCAGCCTACTTTGCTCTATTTCCTTTTTCCTCTGGTGAGAGAAAGTAGGACAAAGCTTTTGATGGTCCTGTCAAAGATGTCTGATGATGTCTGAATTCAGCTTGAAAGAGAAATATCAAGTTCTGAGAATTCAGCTGGTGTTCTATCACCTGTTGTTTTTGCTTTAAGTGTCTTAATACTAAATGTGAAAAAGAGAAAATAAATGTTGAACACCTTTAGAAAAGGACACAAAAAAAGCTACTGCCATGCTTGCCAAGTACCATCTGATTAATTTGTTTCTATGTTAAATTAATTTACAAACATAATCTTTCAGTTTTGTCTGCTCAGAATGGGAATTTTTAGCACTGGTCATCAACATGCTTTACAGAGCCTGGCAAAAAATGTTTGCAACCAACAAGTGAAATAGGACATTTATGTCTCTAGGGTTCAATTTAACTAGGCTTGTGCTCAATTTTAATCCCACTCCAACTCCTACTGACTGCAGTGGGACTACTTAACTTCTTAAAGGACACTATCATATTTGGTGCTTTGAGGAATTATCACCAGTAACTATGTAGTTTGTTTTTTCTGTTTTCTTCACATTGCACTGCCTGGAAAAGAGTGATCCTATGTAATCTATCCATAGATCCATAAATCTCAATTTCTGAAGTCCTTTTGTGTGGCTTAAAATTGTTATTTCAATTGTTGCTTCATTTTAGTATGTAATAGTTTTGTGGATCTTCTATAGTCTTCATGATAGTATGAAACAGGATACATCCTTAATAGATTTACCTTATTGTCTTAATGTGATCAAAAGTTTTTCTTAACTTGTTAATTTTACTGGCAGATTGATGATATAGATCTTATTAGTGCAAACATGGAAAATTCACTGGCTTCTATTGGAGGATTTTGCTGTGGAAGATCTTTTATTATCGACCATCAGGTAAGGTGATTCTCAGTTTATATGGTGTGGCAGGGTTAGTTACTTATAAATGAGACTTAGTTACTAATACCAACTGCAAGGAGTGTTACGATATAAATTATTATGGAACATTTGATTCCTAAGAGAAACTTTCTGTGAAATATTGTAGATGAGTTGGAGACCTACTTTTAAATCCTTCCATGAACCTCTAAGTGTAGAGGAGATATTCTTTAAATGTATGTGAATTCTTAAAACATTTTCTGTACGGCTATAAACAAAAAAGGTGGGTTTTTTTGTTTGTTTGTTTGTTTGTTTTATTTTATTTTATTTTTTTTCTTTTTCCTCCACAGCGATTGTCTGGTCAAGGCTACTGCTTTTCTGCATCGCTACCCCCTTTGTTAGCTGCTGCTGCCATTGAGGCTCTGAATATTATGGAAGATAATCCAGGTACTTAATACAGGAAAATCTTATTTTTCATTCTGTCTTCAGCTGAAACTACTAACTCATACTTTGTTCTATTTTGATTCCTCACCCTTTAATTCTTTTTAGTCCTTTTGCTTTTTCAGCTTATTAATTTTACATGCATGATTTTTCTTCATAGAATTTCTCATCCTGCTTTTCTTCTTCAGCGTTTTCTCACCTTTACTTCCAGATAAAAATAAACAAATTAGTTCAGGCTAGGAAGGACAGTTTTCACTAAGCAAATAAGAAATTATTGTCCTGCTTTATAGACTAGTCATATGTTTCTTCCTTGGAAGTAAATTCCTTCAAGAGGAATGACGGAAAGGAAGGTTAAAGAGAAACAAATGGCAACAACTCTTTCCACTTGTACTACGTAATTTTATTTTTCTTTTCATCTCCAAGTAAGCATGCAGGCAAGAATCTCAGGAATGATCATGGTGCAAACACTTGCAATTATGGCAGGACCAAGTACAGGGAATTTGAATAAAGTTGGCAGGCAGGAGTTTCTACTCTGGAAGTCTGGGAGAATTGTACTTGTTTCTAGAACCTAGTAACAATTTTTTAAATTGTTTTTTTCAGAAAGAGGCATGCGAGAAGGACACAGTTGGCCAAATCTGTGTTTATTTGTTTTTAACCTTCATTAGCATCAACAGATTTGGGTCCATATGCAGAGTGGTACAGTATTTAGTTTATGACAAATAAATAAATACTACTGGGTAGCCCACCCCTCACAAGTTAAACAAGAGCAAGAAAAAAAAAAGTTACAGGACTCTTAGCTATAGTGGAGGGCCAGCCTTTACCAAGGAAAAAAGAACCAAAGTTTGTAGGTCCTGGAATCAAAGTTTCCAATTTAAGGATCTGCAGTGAGTTGGTGAAAGGCTCAAGAGCAGAGTCTGCATGGCTGTAGGTATTTTGCAGATATAAGTGACTTGGACCTGCCATTTCAATGCCGTTACCAAGTGTTTGTATCATCCTTTCCATATGATCATGAATCAATGCAGCTGGAGTAATGAGATAAAGGGAAGTAATGCATTTGTCAGATCTTAAAAGCCTGTCATTTCCAGGCAGAAATGTGAATCAGAAGTATTTTAGAGAGTAGTGAAGAGACTTAGTACTTCAATAGATATGTATATCTTAGTTTTCCTTCAAAATGCTTTTTTTTTCAAATAGTAGACTTAGAGAAATGCAGAGTAGAAATAGGATATCTAAACCTTTTTTTTTGTGTGTGTGTGTGTATGTAGACATTTTTCAGACTCTCCGGGCTAAATGCGAACGAATTCACAAAGCTTTGCAGGGGTAAGTGTGTCTTTTGGATTTTGTTTCCCATTATAACACCAACTTTAAAGAATTCTCCTTGCCCAAGTCTGTTTCTGCTTTTACAGATGCTTAGACTGGGATATGTACACTAAATTATGTATGTATTAAAGGAAGAAACGTATCCTTTTCCAGGTGCCTCTGTTATGTTATGTTATTAACGAGTCGCAGGGTTTTTAAATCCATTTACAGGTTTTGAAATGAGATTATACCTTAATGCTGTTAGGGATGTTTGCAAACCCTTAGACATTTAAGTCTCGAAGGGTGTGATAGCTTTCAGTGGTATGACTGGTTGATAAACATTTTGAAAAAAACTCTAAGTAAAAGCATTTGGGGGTTAGCTTAGCCAATGCTCTTCCAGACAACTCAGTACACCTTGCAGTCAACTTTTAATACAATCTTGTTCTTACATATGGGCCTTGTATATTAAGCAGTAACAGAAGTATTCATTATTCTAGAGACACATAGAAAACTGCTAGAATTTATCTGAAAAATAAGGATTCTGCTTAAAATCTCCTAACAGTATCCTGTTTTAAAAGATGGCTACTCTGAGTAATTGTTTTTTTTTCCCTGACAGATTTTGATCCTGAAAAATACAGAAATTTCCATGACTGTTTAATGTGCAGAGTAGATACGTTAGCTGGTATTTTATAATTTATTTTCTTCAACAGTTCATGTTACATGTTAGTGAAATAAATAACATTGAAACAAAATCTATAGTGTATGATTAATCATAATAGCTGATTTTATTTTTATTTTGGTACTATTAGTCACTTAACAAGCAACTCACACTGAATAACTATTTCAAGTAAGTAGTTTCCTGCTTAGCTGATGTTTTATGTTAAACTTTAGCTCCATGCAACTTCTTTGGAATAATCTTACCACGAAATCATCCTTGTCTTCTTTGCCCGTTCTCAACACAGGCTTGAAATACATAGGCTTTCAATACACAGCTCAAAGATAGCCAGGTGCTTTGTTGCTTGCAAGGAAAATTTCAGAGTAACCTGAAGACTGTTAACATCTCTTCTTTACTAGGAATAGAATGTTATGATTGAGTTAAAAGGAGAATATTTGTAATATTCTTCTCTACCTGATATTTTTTGGATGATAATTCTAAATATGTTTTAAATACTACGGGGGAAAAAAACATGTAAGGAAAAACTTATCAACCTTATACATGTGAATATTCACTACAAAACTGAAGCAAATAAGCTATGACTAATACTTTTCTGTCTTGTAACTGTTTCTAATTTTTCACTTAATTTCAGTGATTAGTATAGTCACAAATCAACAAGAAGGCAAAATGTCTGAGTGTCTGTAATAGACTTTTGTATTTTTGCCTTATAAAAAGCAGTGTGGTAATTTGGAGGTCCAAAAAAAAAAATGCAAAGGAAATAGTTCTTTCTAGGTCATACTTGGGAAAGAGCTTGAAAGATGTAACAACACAAGGGAATTGGGTAGTCCTGCAGCACGAAAATTATCCTAACAGTTGCATAAAACAATATCAGAGAGAACTGAACTAATATTTGCAGAGTCCACTGGGTTTTTCTTTTTTTTTATTTAATAAGCACACTAGAAAAAAAAGTGGGAAGGTTCAAAGAGAGGCAACATTTTCAGAAAAAGCTTTTTCTAAATGCTGTGATGAAAAATGCACTCATCTTCTCTCCCTAACCATGGTTGCTGCTTGACTCCAGTTCTTCGTGGTGCTTTCTATGATACAGTGGAACTAACTTGTTGGTTTAGAAGAGACCATAAAATGGTGATAGAACTGTGAACAAAGGAAGTGGGAAAGAATACACAGGTTTTCTCCTATCTCACAATAGAACAAACACAATGAAAGGAATGAATTCAAAGTAAAGAAAATCTTTTAGCTAATGTATAATTAACCTATGACATTTAGGACTTGATATCTTATGATCAATGCATGATTAACTTAAAAAAAAAAAAAATTATCTTTATATGGTCTCTGGTGGGGGAAGAAACCCTAGTGCAATAAACTGGAGGAGTGACTGGTGTTTATTCCTGTTCCAAGCCAAATGCAAGTTTGTGGAAGAAATGGGAGAATTCCTCTGAATCCTGCATAGAATCTTCTGCCTATGGCAGTTGATAAAGCATAAGGAAGTGCAGTAAGGGTTGGGATGATTAACACAAATCCAGAGAAGGGCCACCAGAATGATCCGAGGGCTGGAGCAGCTCTCCTATGAGGACAGACTGAGAGAGTTGGGGCTGTTCAGTCTGGAGAAGAGAAGGCTCCGAAGTGACCTTATTGTGGCCTTCCAATATCTTAGGGGGGGCCTACAAGAAAGCTGGGGAGGGACTTTTTAGGATATTGGGTAGTGACAGGACTAGGGGGAATGGGGCAAAGCTGGAAGTGGGCAGATTCAGACTGGACGTGAGGAAGAAGTTCTTCCCCATGAGAGTGGTGAGACCCTGGAATGGGTTGCCCAGGGAGGTGGTTGAGGCCCCATCCCTGGGGGTCTTTAAGGCCAGGCTGGATGAGGCTCTGGGCAGCCTGATTTAGTGGGAGGTGTCCCTGCTCATGGCAGAGGGGTTGGAACTGGGTGATCCTTGTGGTCCCTCCCAGCCCTGACAAATTCTGATTCTATTTTAGCGGAGGACTTAGTAGTGTTGGCTTAATGGTTGGATTTGATCTTAAAGGTCTCTTCCAACCTAAAGAATTCTATGATTCTATTCTTAACTTTCTTAGAAATCTACTTTATCTAAGATGGTTGTCTTGTATTTTAAAATATCTTGTGTCTTAGTCAATACAAATGAAGAAGCTCTGCATCAGGGAGAGAGGATGGATGAAACAGAATTTTTTGTTTTTGTTTTTTTTTTAAAAAAAAGTTACAGTAATAGTATCCTTTAAGTAGTTCATTACTTGTATATCCTATACCTGGCTGAGAATTTTCCGATAAAGTGAGTTTTCGTTGAGGAAAAGCAGTTTTATTTTCAGAGATTTTTCCCTTCCAGAGAAACCTGACATTTTTTCAATGAAGTGTCATTCTTGTTTTCTGTTAGCAAAATTGACAGAAACGTTTATGATGTACTACCAAAAGCCTGCTCCTGCCCCTCAGTTCTGCAGCCCAGCCTTGTAGCTTGGATCTCAAGAACTGTGAGGAGGGAGATCCCCAAGGCTACATCCATACTGGTACTTTAACATCAGGAAGCATTTCTGGGCAGAGGATCTTGATTGTCTACTCTGTCCAGTTGTCTGCCTGTAGCATGGATTTGGCTAAGGCCAAGCAGAACTCTTTGAAAGAACTGCTGGGTACAGTTCAAGTGTCAGTGGGAGCCAGTAGCTGTTCCCAGTAGTCAGTTTGGATGTGGTCACCCTGACGTGGAGACTCAGATTTAAAAGTATGGATGTGAGTCATTCCATACCCATTCACCACAAGGACAGAAAACAGTCCAAGGCACATTTAATTTATTAATATAGAACTAGCCTTAAAAGGAGCGTTGTTGTCTGTGAGGCTAGTTGTTGGTTCAAAGTCAAATCCTTCACACTGCTCTTTTTTGTGTGTGTGTATAACTTCTACAGTTTTGCTTGAAAAAGAATTTTTCACAGCATTTCGTAGTGAATTCTGATTTTAGGGAAGTTACAGTGCATGGGCTTTGGATTCTCAAATACTTGAATCTGAACTTGTCTGAGGCTCAGAAAAATATAGTTGACGTTTCACATTAGTTATTGCCATCAGAACACCTTGTGTTTAAGTTCTGGATTTCTTCAAATAGTTAGATAAGATTAATTACGTAGTTCAGCATACTGCAGCTATGGCTGAGAGAAAAGGTTTTAAGATTAAATTTGAAACATGTAAGCAAACTATGAATAAGTGAATACAAGACATGTTCAGGCAAAGATTCAGCTTGAATGGAAGTGATACAAGGCTTGCTTCCTACTCATTTACTGTTTGGAGGGTGGAAGTTCATTATTATCTATTTCCATGAAAAATTGTGTCTGTTTTATAACTTGAAGCTAATATAGTGTCTCTAAACAAAACCTTATTATTGTATAGTAGCTTGTCTTAGACTCTGTTCTACAGCAAATAGATTGAAATAATGGTAAAACTTTATCTGATATCTACTTTTATATCCGTACGTGTAGAACACTACTCCAAAGAAGTCAGGTCGCTCCTAGGGAACTTAACTAAGAACAGATATGTAACATGACTGTACTGTGTTGTACATTGTAGATGGACATTGAACTGCTTTTCATTATCCTTTATGTTACTGAAAGTTGTAACCCAGATCCTTAGGTATGCATGCAGTATGAGGCGAATGCAGTGTGTGTGCTTGCATATTAAGGACATTGCATGTGTTTGGTTAGTTTCCAAGTGTAGGTGAACACTAGAATGTTTGCAGTTTTGTGGCTGAAGATGAATATCAGTTTGATTCCACAGAATCACAGAATGTTAGGGGTTGGAAGGGACCTCTGGAGATCATCAAGTCCAACCCTGCTGACAAAACAGGACCATCTAGTCTAGGGCAGGTCACACAGGAATGCATCCAGATGGGTCTTAAAAGTCTGCAAGGAAGGAGACTATAGATATATAGAATATAGACCTCTCTGCTGAGCCTGTTCTAGTGCTTTGTAACCCTTACAATAAAGAAGTTCTTCCTCATGTTGAGGTGGAATTTCCTGTGCTCCATTTGGCTTTCTGGAATGGACTGTGAATTGAAATAGCTTTTGAGAAATAATGCAAGATGCTTTCCATGCTAGAGTATAATTTTATTTTTTCAGTGTTATAATTGATTATAATTGATTCAGTGTGTTTGTAGTGCCAGTTCTCTCTCCTATAGGCTCCAGTTCTCATGTTCATTGGTTTAACATGTCTTTTGTTGTGACTGGGTCTTCAACCTTGTAAAAATAAACAACTTATTTGAAAATGCACATTAAACAGTATTTATTTGTTTTAGGATTTCTGGATTAAAAGTAGTGGGAGAATCTTTTTCTCCAGCATTGCACCTACAGCTGGAAGAGAGCTGTGGATCTCGAGAAAATGATGTGAAGTTACTCAAAAGAGTTGTGGATTATGTAAGTGTCTCAGTAGCAATTGAAATACGTCATTTGAATGTGAATGGCAAATGAAGTGCGTATGAGTAGGGAAGGCTTGCTGGATTGGAATGTCTTGCAGGAGTACTGCAAGAAACTCAGTTCTTTGCTTTCCATAGGGCTATGTTAAAGACAATCTTCTAACCACCTCTGGCTGCAGATGTTTAGGTCTGTAGCGCTAGATAAAAATATATATTTGACATTTTATTTCACAAAATAATTATATCCTGTTTTGTACTTCAAAACTCAAGTTGAGTTTGCGTATAAAACTGTTGCTTAGAAAACTTCTAGAATGTTCATAGGAATAAAGGCTATTGTTTGAACATATTTCTGGTGGTGTATTTGAACCACTTGAGGTCTAGCTTTCTGTAATTTTGTTTGAGCCCATAAACTCCATTTTTTGTGTGTGAAAAATCTCATGGTTTGTATGCCTTTTTCTTTTTTCCATCTTCGATACACAGTTCTTTCTCCTGCATGAAGGAGATGAAGTTTGATGAGGAAGTTTTATATTTCAGGTGGCAGGTAAACCAGACCACACAACAAAGTTCAAAACAATCTGAAGTTGATTTCCTTGAAAATATGGTTAAATATTAATTAATAGCCTACTTAATACTGCATTTTTATCTGATTACTTGAAGATGAAAGCTAAAGAAGCTGCACCCTAATCTGTTTTGTGTGTTTATGCTGTATTAAAATTAGAGGTGATTTTACATAACCTTAAAACCTCCATTTGGGAGAGAGTTATTCTGGCAGCAAACTCATAAAAGTTAGTTATATGATTTTGGTGATGAAAAGGATATGCCATAAGATGTTCTTAGATTGACAACTGCTGTATTTTCTCTTGTTTGTAGTGCATGAATAGCGGTATTGCATTAACTCAAGCCCGCTATCTGGAGAAAGAAGAAAAATGTCTTCCTCCACCCAGGTTAGTAGGAGGTCATAGAATCACAGAATTGTTTTTGTTGGAGTAGACCTTTAACATCAGGTTAAACAACCTCGGTTCCCTCAGCTGCTCCTCATAAGACTTGTTCTCTAGACGCCTTCTTCATTGTTCTTCTTTGGACATGCTTCAGCACCTCAACGTCCTTCTTGTAGTGAAGGGCCCAGAACTGAATACAATATTCAAGGTGCAGCCTCACCAGTGCAGAGCACAGGGGATGGTCACGTCCTGAGTCCTGTTGGCCACACTATTTCTGATACAGTCCAGTATGCTCTTGGCCTTTTTGGCCACCTGGGCACACTGCTGGCTCTTGTTCAGCTGACTGTCTATCAACACCAGCAGGTCCTTTTCTGCTGGTCAGCTTTCAAACTACCCTTCCCTAAGCCTATAATGTTGCATGGTGTTCTTGTAACCCAGGTGGAGGACCTGGTAGTTGGCCGTGCTGAACCTCAGGCAATTTGCCTCTGCCCATTAACCTAGCATTATTCCATTTAGTGGGATATGACTCTTTTATCACTTCTCATGCAATGATGGGGGGATTTGTTCAGTAAACTGGAGTTAATAGTTGGCCCTTTAAAAAATGGGAAAGGTTCCATTTTGAACTATAGTATCAGGGACTATTACAGGACGTTGATATCCTTAAATAACTGTATCAAAACTACTTGAATGTTGGTGATCAGCAAGTTGCCTGTTACCAGGCACATTTAATGAGCTGCATATCTGCAGGTAAAAAAGATGATAATCTTCTGTAGCGTGTATGGTGGGGAAGAAAAAGTAGTATGACCTTTTCTTTTTAGTCATATGTCTTGTTTCTCATTGAATTTAAATTAATATTTATTTCTCTAGAAATAAGGATCTTAATATGTTCAAATTAGTACAAGAAAAGTGTAAAGCTGGAGACAAGGAGTGATGTTTACTGTGTATGTTCTGGTTTTCTTTTTCTAGTATTCGAGTAGTGGTAACAGTGGAACAAACAGAGCAAGAACTGGACAAAGCTGCATCACTTCTCAAGGAGGCTGCACAGTCTGTATTGATTTAGACTGCTGTTTTGTCCTCTTTCTCCAGTTATCAGGATGTTTTACACTATATAGTGACCTCACTTCATGTATTCAAGTTCTTCCACTGACGGCATTGACTCCTGACTGAGATTGTTCCAAAGTGGTACAAATGCAATGAGGGGGAAAATGGTGAAATTTGGAACAGGTGAATGACACAGTGTACTGGCAATTCATATTCTATCATTTAATAGCATTTCTTAAAATGTGGTATCACTGCTGGATACAGGACTTTTTCATAAGTCACATCATAAAAAGTTTTGAATTTTTTTCTTCAAACCCTTAAATGTTTTCTAAAATGTACATGAACATTCAGTTTTCCCCAAAAACATCTAAAATGTATCAGTTTCTCTTCATATTCTCAGAATGTAGGAGCTTCAAATAAATTTCAAGTTTCCCTCCCTGCAAATGAGGATTGGACTGTTCCTAATACTGCCAAAAGGGAGAAAATAGCAGATTAAGAGAGAATTTTGTGCTATATTACATCATTTATTAGTGAATTACAGGAGGAATTTTAGTTCTTTTTGTAGTATATATCTTTCTCTAACCATTTTTTGAAGCCAGTTTTTAAGAGTGCCTGGCCAGAGAATTCCGTTATCTAAACGGTAAATTCATACTAAGTACTATCTGCTTCCTGCATTTCATATGTAAGTATATGCATGGTTGATATTATGGGTGAGGTTTTTCATATTATTAACTTTAAAAAATCTAAACTGAAACCAGTGTAATCCCACTATAGTATGTTCAGTCAGAGGGCCTTCGCATCAGTCTTGAAGAGGAGTCATAAGTAACATGACATATGAACAAGGCCTTGAAACAGCAAGTAAATACTTGCTTAGTCAAACCACTTTGAAGCACTAAAATGATGTGTTCTAAGTTTTTTCTCTAAACAGCTATACTTTAGAGGGGAAGACTCACAGATAGGTAATAAGAGGTTAGCTGGTACAAGTACTACTGACATGCAACTCAGTGTGTGCCCATAAAATCCCTGCATAACTGTATAGTAATATTTGGAGGTTATGCTATAAGAATTTTCAGAAAGCACAAATGAGTGTTACACAGATGGACACATTACACCAATCAGAGGAAACTGGTAAGGAAGGATGACCTAAGCTGTACCTTTTTATAAAATAAAAACTATAGCTGTGTATTTCAGGATTTTGCTTTAAAAATGTCAGTTTAAAAATTTTGTGTTCTTCCTGGTCTGTTCGGGGTTGTTTGTACTTATGTAGGTTTTTGGTTGCTGCTACAAGGACTTCAGGACTAGTTTTGAGAAACATCATTGTCTAAATAAAAAGTTAATCACGTTTGATTCAGATTTTTACTTCTAATTAGATTTTGTGACATGACCAACCATATCTTGTTGAATATTCCACATCAGATGAGTGTGGTGCCTCCTTCAGTTCAAATTGACTGTCTCTGCACTCTTTCAAGACTTCTCATCTGCATGCAGTCAGGTAAACCAGCCAAAGTTGGGTTGGGGCACTTTTATGACTGCTACTTGTCTACTTGAAGCAGTCAAATCATAATCTGTGCAGTGTAAAGAAACCTCCATCCCACTGTGAAAGAGTATTTCTATCTCACTGACATTTAAATTTTTCTCTGTTTACTGTGAGTAAAAAGCCTGTGAGAAGCCACCAATTTAAAAGAGCAAAAATGTGGGGAAGGGAAGGAAGCTGGTTCCAATTTTATGAACTGGAACCACAGCATAGAACAATCAACCTTCTCAAGACCCTCAGAGTCTTCAAAAAATTGTAGTAAAAACTTAGCATTGTACTTTGAGCTGGAAGCCATTTTTGGTTTGATAATTGAAACCAGTAAACTCAAAGCTTTTGATATAGAACCTGGGAACAAATGAAGTTCTTGGATTCCAATGTAGCACAATAAATAGTTTTGGAGTTCAAGGTAAACCTATGGAGGCAAGTGAATCACAAACTAATATTGAAATACTAGATTGCAGAATCTATTTTCACGTCTTGCGTTTTGTTTTAGTTTGTCTGCAAATGGGAGGAATTTCTTAGTGTGCTTTTTGTGAACTAAGCAACAACTTCTAGATACTTGGATTAGTTTGTTGGATTTGATTGTTTGCTTTAAAATGAAGTGGTAACACCTACATTGGCAGGAAGCAGAGTGGAACTTCTAGCAGTTTCAGAGCTGTGACTAAGTGGTTCTGATGAAATGAAAGTTCAGGTATGTTGCTAAGAGCTACTATCATCTGATTAATTTGGCAAACACATACCCAGCATTAAAACATTGGTAAAAAAGGCTTGGTCTAGTTGCTTTATGGTTGGATGAAGCAGGACTTTTTCATCCATTTCTTCAGCTGTGGGAGTGAGGCTGGGATCTTATTAAATAAAGTAATTCAGC